ATGAAAAAGCAAGGAGAAAGAAAAAACATACAAAACACAATGACAGGGAAAAAAAACAAAAATACACAATGACAGGAAAAACTAAGGCAGGGCCAGACTCAGAGAGGACAAGCAGTTGGGGGCAGAGTACTCGGTAGGACTAGCATTCTGTGACAGCCAAGAAGCTAGGAAGATGGAAGGGAGAGGATGAGAGGGTGGTGTGCCTAGTTCTAAAGGGAGTTCCTGTAGGCCTAGGTGTTGTCTATGGCCAGGACGCCTCATCCAGTAGTTTGTGCAGGACCCAATGGTGCTAGGTCAGGGTCTTCCAGGCCCAGAGAGCAGCTTGGGGCAGGATGGCTGGTTACGAGACTTCCTGCTTATCCAGAGCTGGCCAGGCAGCCAGCTCTGCATGGTCTGCTTCTCTGAAGAGGCAAGACTCAGGATTATGCAGCCAGCTCCCAACTCACAATGGCACTGCTCTGACCTCTAGCGGAGCAGGGACTGTGCGGGAGTAGGTGAGGGTTGGGGCTGGCCATGTGTCTGGTCACCAGGAGAGTGTGGAGAACCAGAGACAATCTCACCTTTCTTGTTACCAGCCACCAGTGTGTATCTGTGCCATCATATCGTCGCTCAGATCCACAGTTCACCCATCTGTCTCTTCTCTTGCCACCCCATTCAGCTTCTTCTCCTTCAGTATCAGTCCACATCTCTCTCCTTTCCTCTGAATCTCAGGGTTCCAGGATTTGGTCTGTTCCATTTGGTCTGTCATATCTTTGTTGCAGAGGCTCCGTGTAGCGTGTCTTGCCTAGTCCACCAGTTTGTGCTCTTTGCAGTGACACTATCTTGTACTTCCCAAGCTGTCATTGTTGTTAGGTGCTGTTGAGTCCATTTCAACTCATAGTGACTTCATGTGACAGATCAGAACTGTCCCAACAGGTTTTCTAGGCTGTAATGTGGCCCTATAGGATAAGCACTTGACTGCTAACCACAAGGTTGGCAGTTCGAATCTACCAGCTTCTCCTTGGAAACCCTATACAGGTGAGTCAGAATTGACTCAATGGCACTTAGCAACAACAATCTTTATGGAAGCAAAGTGTTAAGTTTTTCTCCCATGGAGCTGCTGTAACTATTGTTAAGTATCGTCCAGTCAGTTCCAACTCATAGCGAACCTGTATAGGGTTTCTGAGGAGCAGCTGGTGAGCTTGAACTGCTGACCTTGCAATTCAAACCGATGTTGCAGTCCAGCACTTTAGCCCACAGCACCACACCACCACTGGGTGGGTTCAAACTGCTAAACTTTCTGTTTCAGCACTTAACTATTACACCACTAGAGCTCTTTAACTAGATCTTGATAAATTCATCATTAGCTTGAAAAAAACATGGAGTCCTGGTATGGAGTTGTGGGTTAATGCGGCTAAACTGCAACATCAGTGTGAACCACAAAGGCAGCAGTTCAAGCTCACCAGCTGCTCTTCAGAAACCCTATACAGGGTCACTATGGGTCAGAACTGACTTGATGGCGTTTAGCAACAACAACAACAAACCTTGAAAAATATTCTTATTTTCACATCCACCCTCTAATTTAGTGGGGGTAAAAACTCATTCCTCTCATTCCCCTTTTGACCCCAACTTCATACAATGCTAGCTGGACATCTTTTGATTTTTGCAACATTTTAAAATTCACTCTACAAAGAAATTAAAAACAGATCATACCTGACCAATAGACATACTGTTTTGACCTGCAATTTTTGTTTTTGTTTTTTGAGCCAAAATTTGCAAAATTTGAGAGCTTGTTATCATAAAACTTTAGATTTTTTTTTCTTTTATTGAATATTAAAAGATTATGCATTACTGGACCTACATTCCCCAATGGCTGAGCAGTGTCTGTCACTATAGGCCATGTCTCAGTCTCCAAAGCCCATGCTATAGAGGCAACTCGGATTGGTAGTAATCCTATAGGACAGAGTAGAATCACTCCTTAGCATTTCCGAGATTATCAATCTTTATGGGTAGGAGCAGATAGTCTCATCTTTCTCCCTTGGAGCAGCTGGTGGCTTTGAACTGTCAACCTTACAGTTAGCAATCCAGTGCTTAGCGCACTGCACACCACAACTCTCCATTGTCTTCTTGACACAGAAGCTGTATGTCAGTAGCTTTCAGGCTCCCTATTCATCTTTGTTTTTCTTATAAAGGAAAATTATGTTTCCCTTCTACCCAACCCACTTCTTTAGTTTTTATTATTACCTAGCAAATGTAGACAAATTGGGACCCTTATTTACCACGTGAAAGATACTCAAAGGACATTAATTGACAAATACAAAATACTGGACAATCTGCATAGTACAACTCCATTTGTAGAAGGGAAAAGAGAGAGAGAAGGAGGTAATAGCTGCTTGTATGTGCACAAAAATATATGCATAAGAATCCATAAGAAACACTAGTAATTACCTAGGGAGTAGTGCCTACACTTTCTAATGTATACCTTTGTATTGTTTGGATTTTATGCTGCAAGTAGGTATTACCTTTGCAACAAAATTCACTAGAGTTTAAAAATCACAATATACGTTAATCCTCCCCAATCAGCTCCAGATCATTTTAGTTTATGAAATAGCAACTTTAGGAGCATGGTGAGTCTCTATTTTCCAAGCCCAGAGTCAGAAGACATGGTATGATGACGTGCACATGAATTTATTAAGAAACTAAGAATATTTGGAACTGGACTGAAACTGAAAGAATCAGAATTTGAGAGTATCACATTAGAAGTTAGAAAGAACTTGACCTCGAGTGTTAGAACATTATGACACTCCATGAGGACAAGGATTTTGCTTAGTTTGCTCACCTTTCTCTATGGTTGTAGCCTGTTGAGCAGAAATGAGGGAAAAAAGAGATGACAATGAAGAAATAGGGACATGAGGATGCTAGAACTATTTGTGACTACTTAGAAAAGAACAAGTGAAATTAAATTCAACAAAAAAGCTCCATTTCTTCTACCTTCTACTTTTCTTCTGCCCCTAAAAAAGAAAAGAAGTAAACCCTGTAAGGCAAAAAATTACAATAGTGAAAACAAACAAAAAAAATCAATATATGATTGATTAGTAAAGTGCTGCACAGGAACTTTTTAAAGTGTTGAAGAGCAGAGATGTCAGCTTGAGGACTAAGGTGCGCCAGACCCAAGCCATGGTGTTTTCAATAACCTCATATGGATGTGAAAGCTGGACAGTGAATAAGGAAGACTGTAGAAGAATTGATGCCTTTGAGTTGTGGTGTTGGAGGAGAATATTGAAAGTGCCATGGGCTGCCAAAAGAACCAATAGATCTGTTTTGGAAGAAGTGCAGCCAGAGTGCTCCTTGGAGGCCAGGATGGCTAAGCTTCGTCTCTCCTACTTTGGACATATTGTCCGGAGGGAACAGTCGCTGGAGAAGGATGTGATGCTGGGTAAGGTGGAGGGTCAGAGAAAAAGAGGAAGACCCCCAACGAGATGGATCAGCCAGGTGGCATCATTGATGGTGTCAAGTGTAGCAGCGGTAGTGAGGTTGGCCCAGGATCAAACATTGTTTCGTTCTGCTGTGCATGGGGTCGCTATGAGCCGGTTCCGACTCGATGGCACCTGACAACAACAACAACAGTAAAGTAAAGGAGGAACTAGCAGCTATGACAAAGAACCGTGACTGGGCTTTGTGCTTAGGAACACAGACTCTTGGAAGTAATGGTGTCTGGTTCTATACCTCATCATTTGTTTCATTTAGCTGATTCTAACATTGTCTAGGAGTCCTGGTGTAGTGCTATGGGTTAATGTGCTGGACTGCAAAGCCAGTTCTAACTACAAGGTCGGCAGTTCAAGCTCACAGCCACTCCTAGGAAACCCTATACAGGGTCGCTATGGGTCAGAAGCCACTTGAGGCACTTAACAACAACATTGTCTTGTTATTTTAATATTCTTGGTGAACTCTGCTATTAGACCTCAGATTCTTTGTGTGCTGCCAATATTTGAAGATCAATTTTTTTTTTTTTTTTTTTAGAAACAGGAAAAAGCAGAATTCAACATAAGGATTACATGCACCATGTTAAGAATATGAAATTGCCAATTTTGATATTTTTTACTTATAAAAAAATGACAATTTCATGATTCAATGTTGTACATCCACACAGACCCACACAGTTCAAAATTCTGCCTTAAATGATGGCATTTCCATTACTGAAAATTCCCAGGACAGAATTAATGATCATTTTATAAAGAAATAGCCCATAAATGATTTGTGTAAAGCAACTCTCTTGGGGAAAGTCTTTCCTCTGAATTTTTATATTTATTTCCAATAGACCCTGAAACTACTTACTACACATATGTTTCCAAAATATTTTCATCCTTCTAGGAGTCCTGGTGTGGCTCTATAGGATAAGCACTTGACTGCAAGGTTGGTTTAAACTGCAAGGTCAGAAGCTCAAACTCACCAGCTACTCCTTGGAAATCCTATACAGGGTTGTTATGAATTAGAATAAATTCCATGACACTTAACAACAACAAGAGTTTCTCTCAGATAGGAACTGAGTTTGCTTAAATTCACACAAATTGTGCTATTCAGTTGCAGGTGTTTTTAAACAGAAAAATCAGTATTCTTCCACCTTTGTGCTATCTTGGATTTTTTTTTTAAATCCCTCAAAACCCTGGGGTTCCTTTGCTCCAAACATGCATAACAGAACAGGAAGAAGCCCAAGGAAAAGGGATAAGGTTTGCTGTTGTTCCAGAACCAAGAGCACAACCTGGATTTTCACATCCAACACTGAAAGAGATAGAGGCACAAGTGGTCCTTGTATCCAGGAAGGGCCACAGGAAGGCCAAGAACAGTGGGGCAACTTCCCCACCACACACAGACTCTCTCCCATTAAACTGTCCCACTGCAACTGCCACCAGAAAATGCTGACTGAATGCTAAACAACGAATACTGCCTAGTGTTGTTTAATTTTACCCTATGGAATATTCCAGTGAACAGTGTTTACATTTACCTGATGTTTTCTTCTCTAGATAAAAATTCTTCGACCTGAGTGTTTAAAGAATGCAGTGAGAAAATTTGTAACTGAAAACATGGGAAATGAGTATCTTCATACTACTGAAATTAATTTGAAAGAACTGTATAAAGAATCCAACGCCAGAACTCCATTGTTACTTATTCACTCTCATGGTAAGCTGTTTGTGAATACTTAAGATGGGAAAGTAAATTCTGAAAGTGTCGGGTTTCTGTATTTAAAATATTTTCCTATTCTTGTTTAAATGTTTTGGGAAAGGTACCACTTAAAACATTCTAAAATTGCAAAAGAACAAAGAGGAATAAAACTACTCAGATTCATAAATATGGAAAAACTTATCAGTGCTAATTTTCCATGCAGAAAATGCCTTCCAATCATGGAATATTGGTCGGGTATTTGGGATTGCCTTTAAATGTATAAACTGTTTTGATTAGCTTTGATTTGTGAATATATGTTTGTGAATATATGTGAGGGGGCTTCAAAAAGTTTGTGGAAATTTTCCATTATCTTTCAATTCCATTTTTCCTCAAACTTTTTGTAGCCCTTAGCCCTGGGGACACTGTAGAATAAGCACTAGACTGCTAACCTAAAGGTTAAAAGTTCAAACCCACAAGCCAGTCTGTGGGAGAAAGATGAAGCTTTCTACTCCTGTAAAGATGAACTGTTTCACTATATGGTTGTTATGAGTCAGAACTGATGTATTGGCAGTGAGATTGGTTTGGTTTTGGTTTATACACATGCATGTATATACACATGAGAGTCAAAAAGAATGACTACTATGATTCCAGTTCATACATACACAAATTTATTATACATAAAACATGTTTAAATACATCTCTGCCATCAGTGGATAACTGCAGACAAGTTCTCTCAGTAACACCCTTGTCTTGGTTTCATTACTGTGCCTTAGGAAAGAGGTCCAATAAGAACTGTGACTTCCAAGGGGATCTATTGGGGGCCAATTAAATTCTAGGCATAGAGGTCAGCTCAGAAGGTTATGGCAATGGTTTTCTGGCATTTCAAATGGGTAATCTTGATAGACTTTCTCCAAAGACACAGAATGATCACAAGAGCTTATTATAAAGTTGTAAGAAAATTGAAAACTACATTGTTAGAAGGCCAGGAAATTTGCAACATTTTTTTTTCCCCATCATGACAATGCATCTATTCATTCTTTGAGGGTAGCAAAAGCTGTCTTGTAAGAATTTCTTTAGGAAACCTTGCCCCATTCACCCTACATCCCTGAACTTGCTCCTTCGGACTTCTTTTTGTTTCCAAAATGCAAAGATCCTTTAAAAAGATAATTTGAGTCCATAGAGGATGCCAAATCTGCAGTTTTGACAAAGAGTTCAGAATTCTTCAGGGAGGAGTTAGAAAAATGAAAACACTACCTTCAGAAGTGTTTTATAGACCTCTTATAAAATAGTCACTTGAGGGGGAGAGAAAGGAAAGATAGAAATATCACCATAGAAAGCTTGTAAGTCCGTCTTCTGGCTATTACTGATTGGAGTACCTAAAATGGAACTACATTGTGCCCAGTGCAGGAGGCTTCCTGCAGAACCTCTGCATTACATAAGACCATAGATGGAATCCTGAACCGCATCCAGAATGTTCTAAGGTGGAAATTTCCACTTGAAAAGACAAGCAGACCAGCCCAGAGTGGGGTAGAAGAACAGAAGATACTTCTTGAAAGAAAGACCTACAGGAAAAATATAAAACAATATAAGGAGTCCAACTGATTACTACAAAAACAAGCAAGTTGCTCAACCAGAAGACATCAAGGCAAGTGGTCAGGTCCCCTCAGGGCAAACCCCTTCCAAGACTAACACTTAATAGGAATACACGCTCTGACTGGTGACCATGTTCATCACCAATAAGGGGAAGTGAGGGAAAAAGCAATGAAGCTACGAGCTAAGCCCTACTATGTTCAATAGACTCTTGTGAACCTAGGTGGAGACCTGGTCAGCCAGCAGTGTGGCAAGACCTGGGGACTCTTGAGCCCAGAGTCAGTGACATAGCCACAGAGGACTAGAGTGGAGAGTGAAGCATCCAGCTGATAAGAACACCCACACTTGCAGATAATACCCACTTGACCTGGCTTCAATGACTGGATGATCAGAGCTCAAGTAGAAAAAGAAAGAAGAGGAAAAAAAGAGTAAACTGATACAATTTGATGAACTTGACCTACACCTATGGATGCAGTAGCTCAAAAGAGGGAACAAATCTTCACAGTTAGGGTCATTCCCACCCCCTCCATACACAGAGTAGACAGGGATGGGCCACTTGGACATTGGCTATCCAAAATGGGAGGTGCTACAAAGGCAAGAAGTGACTCGCTTACAAGCTTTCAAGAGGGAACCTAGATCCAGAGGGTGTGAAGGAAGGTAGAATCTCCACTGAGTAGTATCCAATCTGTCTGGGCAGAGCTGATGAAAGGAGATGGGGCTAGGTCTCTTGTGATACAATAGTGAATAATTGTTATCAAGACTGATTGTGAGGGTTGGAAATGTAAAGGTAGATGTTTTGTAGCAAAA